GACGCTGCCGTCATCGAACCAGATTCTTCTCTGCTTCCGGCATGCGCGCTCGGCAGGCTATCCGCGTGTCCGTCGGTTGTCCTGTCGCTCGGCCTAAATTCCGGTGCCGATGTGCGCAATCCCACCGTGGTATGAGAGTCCTCCGAAGTCCGTGGCTCGACATTTACCGCCGTTGCCAGCTCCTTCTCTGCCGCTTCCATCCGTGCTTCAAGCGACTCGCCCATCCCTTCCACGTACTGCCGCAGACGTTACAGCTCCGCGAGTTGGCCTTGGCTTTTCTGCTGCTGCTCCGAAGGTTCGCTGATACGTGCCAGCAGTTCCTCCTGCTTTCCCTGTTGGGACTCCAGCATCGCCATAATTACGGCCAGCTTTTCGTCGACTGCTTGAGATCTCGTGGTCATCACTAGAGATGTCGCACAGGATCCCACTCCTGACACCAATTGTAGCACTTCTTGTCCAGTGCGATCGTGGGTAACGGTTCCTGCGTTGCACAGCGACAATGCAGTCTGACAGAGATGGGGCTCATGAGAATAGAGGACTCTGATATCTTACAATCAGTTGTGATCTTTTATAGCTAGCTACTGACATATGCAGTGGTGATAACATACAACCCGTAGAACAGAGTACATAACCATAACATCACAACAGACAAGTTTATGAATAGTCGGGTAGACAGTGTGGTACCAGTGACAGGCCATGTTTCCCACAATACTAACATAACTATTAAATATAGGTTACGCTATGCCCACGAGACGGTTTAGTGGACATACACTACGAGTGCGCAGCACGAGTAGTGTATGCATTAAACCGTCGAGTGGGTGTAGTGTAACCAATTTGTACCACAGGAATGCGCACTAAGACAACTTATTAGTATGTATGCCATGGTGTATGAGAGCTCATACACCACATGTGAGTGTATGGCTGAGTCAGCACACCATAGCATGCATACTAATGAGTTGTCTTAGTGCGCATACACTGCGTGCGGTGCCTTTGATTTCTAGGGCTTCTGTGGTACAATTATCGTAGTATTAGCTAAATGGTGATGTTCAAGTGAGCCAACTACTGAAGAGATGACTCTTCCCTGTCAGAGTCGGTGACACTGGTGCCACCCACAAGTGAAGCAATGATAGTTAAGAGCTCTTGCAGCTTCTTTACCATGCATGTATATGTGTAGGCTCTATCACTGCGACACAGGGGGCAGCACTTCATCCCTCCGTCGTTTCCCCCAAACCTGTCAACACTTGGCAGCCTAGGAGGCGCTTGCAGCACCTGGTGAAGATAACAGGAGGTTTTATAAGAGACAAGCAACATAATAATAATAATACTCAGGTGGCTGCCATGGCACTAGGGCTATAGACCACGCACCCAGAGCAATGGGCGGAACCGTTAACAAACGTATATCAACATGAGGTGTCTGTCTCACCTCCCAGGCACCTCAACTCACACCTTCCACCAGCGACACCCTGCAGCTCCCCAGACACAATCTGAGACTGTGTCTGTTGTACGCTGGGATTATTGCCATATAACTTAACCTTTCTTGGCTCCCAAACTTCCACAATAAAACCTTTAACATGGCCAAGCAAAGCACCAAATGTATCCTCCCAAAGCTCACTACCCAATATATAGCTTTCCTGAAACTATCAAGTGACTGGAAATGCTCCAACCCATCATCCCCACAGCTTCCCCTGCAGGGCACTAAGAAATTGCTCCTAAAACTGACACTCCAACAACACATGACTCACACTTTCATACTCATCATCACACAACAGGCACTCCTTCATCCCCTCCCTCCCCCTACGCCTCTGAGCTACCCCCTGCTCCACATGAAATGCCTCTGACCGTTCCCCATCCAACAATACAGCACTCTTTGAAGACTCGTACATCCTGTTTATGACCCTCCACATCTTTCCCTCTTACCCCAAATTCCCAAAACTTACACCACAGGCTGTTACGCCACACACTATATGTCGTATGCCTTCTGCACATCTAGAAAGAATGCCTTCCCCTCCTTTAGTCTACCCTGTACTAGTTCATTCAGCGTATCAGCCTGACCCTCATGCAATGCTCGGCCCTTGTCCAGATGCTTCACCAACCTATTGTTCAAAACCTTACAAAAGACCTTCCCAACCACACTCAGCAGCCCCTATATTTCCCAGGATACTCCTTATTTCCCTTCTTTAACAGGTTAACTACGAGGCCCTCCCTCCACTGTGGTGGCACAAACTCCTCACGCCAAATTACGGTAAACAACTGTTTAAGTAACTCTACTATCTCTGACCCACCATACTCTAGAAGCTCCCCCACAAGCCCATCACTACCACCAGTCTTGTTATTCTTCTTTCTAACACACAATGCAATATCCTCCAAATTTATTTCTCTATCCAATACATTTTCCACACAATCTCTTTGAAAGTCACACACTTTCTATTCTACTTCTTCCTTCAAACTATCATCAAAAGCTATATCAACACTACAAGTGTCAATCGTGAAGCCGAAGAGACGAGCAGCATATATATTGCACTTGAATGTGTCTTGCAACTGCCTGTGTAGAATGAGAGGCAATTTAACACTCTTTTGAAAGTCATTGTCACACTGTGTCTATATCAGCTTCCTTTCCTCCAATAATGTATGGAGACTAGGACTTTTAACATGTGCTAACAAGTGTCTCATAGGTGCACAAGAAAAATTACAGGCCTTCTGTTGATTGTATGTATAGCTACACAGTAAAAATATTTTTCATCAGGTTTTAAGTTGTGGAAAGTTGGCAGCAAGAAAATATTTGCTGTGTAACTTGATGGGAAACAAAGTCTCTCTCATAAAAAAAGTTTGTTTCGAGCCAGTAAAAAGAAGAATCGTTTGGATAGCATTTCTCTCGCGCATATTGCCTCCGACATCAGGGATATCTGAAAAGATCTTCAGAGTCTTTCCAAATATCAAAGGGTGTTAAATTGCCTCTCGCTCTACGCAGGCAGTTGCAAGACACATTCAAGTGCAATATATGCTGCTCGTCTCCTATAAAACCACCTATTATCTTCAGCAGGTGCTGCAAGCACCTCCTAGGCTGCCAAGAGTGTGTTGACAGGTGGTTTGGGGGAAACGACGGAGGGATGAAGTTCTGCCCCCTGAGTCGCAGTGAGAGAGCCTATGCAGATACATGCAAGTAAACGGGCTGGATGAGCTCTTAACCATCATTGCTCCACTTGTGGGTGGCACCAGCGTCACCGACTCTGACAGGGAAGAGTCGTCTCTTCAGTAGTTGGCTCACTTGAGCATCACCATTTAGCTAATACAACAATTATTTTATGTTAGTATTGTGGGAAACATGGCCTGTCACTGGTACCACACTGTGCTCGACTGCACAAGTAACTGTTCATAAACTTGTCTGTTGTCACGTTATGGTTATGTCCTCTGTTTTATGGGTTGTGTGTTATCACCACTGCATATGTCAGTAGCTACCTATAAAAGATCACGACTGATTGTAAGATATCAGAGTCCTATATTCTCATGAGCCCAATCTCTGTCGGACTGCACTGTCGCCATGCAACGCCGGAACCGTTACCCACGATCGCACTGGACAAGGAGTGCTACAGTATGTATCATGTGCAATGAGTAATGGGGAATCTGTATGATTGACGGTGTTATTATACTTGATCATGTCATGTTGAATAACTAAGAACACACCACTCAGTGCGCTTCGCGCACACATATATACTTGAGTATTGCGTAAAACGCTCGGTACTGTGCGCACGGTTCACGCCAACTGGACTGCTTTCGCTTAGGTTTGATTGAGGGATTGATTGCACTACTCACCTCGGAGACAAAGTTGGCTATTCGAATTTTGGGACAATGACTCTTGGTGTAGATGGAAGGGAGCATGGAGTCAGAAGTTCAACTACTCCAGCATACAGAATCTTGAAAACCAGATCTAGTGATAGAAGGGTGAACACACCGATACCAGACATCAAGACCATATTATGAACAATGAGGACTGGAGTATGCTGCTCTCGCCGTGTACACTCAAAGGACCTCTCGTCGAACCTCTCATAGCACAAGTTCGCTGTTGGTATATACCCACAGTCTTGTCATGTCAGGGTATTCCGAAGAATGGGACAGATGAGGCCATGGAGCAGGATATGAAATCAGGAACAATACGAATGACGTTGCTGCTTCTCTACGACGAGGAGCCATTTGCTAGCTGCATGAAACGCTCGCACAAACGTGACCTCGACAAAATTTAACTACAGAAGGGTGTAAATGAGGTACATGTTGCAAAACTTCAGCCATCGCCTCGCGAACCGGGTCTCGGCGAGAATTAAAAGGACGGTAAACATGTGCGCATGCGCATATGTTACTCACCACGCATGCGCAGTATTAGACATTTTTTGAACATGCACCTCTTCCCACCTTTCAACGCGCGATTTCGAGATTACCAGGAATTTCGAAAAGATTTCGAGATTTCACGGAAGATTTCCAAGATTTCACGAAGATTTCGGGATTTCTAAAGGGATTTCGTGAGATTTCTGTAAAGCGTACGGGATTTCTGCAAGTGGCGGACCCCTCGGCCTCGACACACAAAGCCACGTGCCTGATAACTACACTGCGTATGCGCAAACCTTTAGGCAAATGGGGCGGCCTTCGCCCGCTCTGATCTATGGCTGCGGAACACTGATATCTCACTAATGTCAAAGCATTAAACAATGTCTGTACTAACAATAAAGTTTTTACATGGGAATGGATTTGATAGTATGGCTGAAACACTCCTGATCTATGGAGAGTTTTTACCTTGTGCCTCTCTCATTTCAGAAGCTAGCGGAAAACTATTGCTTCATTAGGTCCCTATGAGAGCGAAATAATGGTTAACTACATCTACTGACATCAGCGATGATTCTGTGCAATGTATTTAAAAAGCGCATGTATGCACACCTGTACTGCCAAGCCTCTCGTTTGGCTTTTTCCCCGTAACACTTACGCATTGTGTAGGATTTGAAATTTTCTCACAGAACTTTCCATTGGATGATGGGTCAATCCGGAAAAGTGCAGCGATGAGAATATGTTCTGGAGCAATGGCAGGAGTATTTGCTACCTTATTTACTTATCCCATTGATGTAGCACGGGCCAAACTAACTGTGCAAGAGCGAACTACTAAATCATACAATGGTAGGCCCGTCTCTGCACATAATTGGAAGACACTTTAACAGTAAAAAGTACGGTGTAAAAGCATTCAGTTTGAGCGTTACCATGAGAATGAAAGCACTAAAGTGCAAACCCTCGGCGCACTACGCATGCAGGGTATCGCTAATTGATGGGCTGGGGGCTAGGCTATGCAGTTACTCGTGGTCTCCACGATAGTAGCTCGCAGAGAGTCTGACATGGGCTAGCTACACTAGTAGATTGCATGCGGGAATCGATGCACGCCCTCTGTTGTAACTCCTTGTGCCTCCAAGGTACACGGAGTAGGCCGATCAGTTCGAGGTAAGCCAGCGCGATTATGCATATTGGCTTTATTGCTTGTTTTCCTTTTTTGCTTGTTTTCATGCAGTCGTTTCAGGAAAATCGCCTAATTATTTTTCAGGTTGGCGTAGTTCTGAAGCCGTTGGTATCGCTAATAGGCTGCCTAGTAGCCTGTAGTGCCAGAATAAGCGTCCACACACACACAGACAGACAGACGGAACGACTACTGTAGCGCATGCGTGCCAAGGGTTAAATATGTGAAGTGTGTATAGTACTGCTGCGCCTGGATATAGCGCACAGATTGCTTCAATAGTGCTTAACGTTAGTTGCAGTATTGACATGAAATAGCTACCTTCATCCCTTCTCTGTTGTTAACCCTCGGCCCGCATGCGGAGCGAGGGTTACAGTAGTCATTCTGTCTGTCTGTGTGTCTGTGTGCCGACGCTTATTCTGGCACTACATGCTACGAGGTGGCCAATGAGCGATACCAACCGGTTCAGAACTACGCGAACCCGAAAACTAAAAGGCCGATTTACCTGAAATGACTGAGATATGCCATGAAAACGAAAAAGCCAATATGCCGTCAAAACCGAAAAAGCCATGAAAGCCAATATGCATAATCGCGCTGGCTTATTGGCGATTTTCGTAAAAGCAATGCGTTCGACAGTTATGGCGTGAAAACCAAGTTAACAAGCCAATATGCTAATTAGTATTCGCTTACCTCTAGGAAGCGAGAAATAAACGCATGCGTGTGTTACACTGGCGGGTTGCGCACAATGATCACGCGTTTTTCGCCGTAAATAGCACTGTTGAGCGGCCATGGTTTCAGCAATCAGCACTCGTACATTCCGCGCGTTGTAGGCAGAGGGGGCTGACCGATGGAGAGCGATAGACGCCTGAAGAAGGTATGTCCGCAGTGTCACACAACAGTACTTGGCGGCGTGGAACCACGCATGTGACACATAGCCCAAACCTCTCGGTGTACAAATGGTGTGTACTTTGTTTTGTGACTGTGTCTGTTCATCCCTCTGCCTGTCTGTCTGTCTGTTACGTCATTTCCTGGCACGATGTGGAACAAGTTGGCCAAAAACGAGACCATCCTCATTAATTATTCATTGAAGCTAGTATAGTGGCCCACCGTGTTGATAATGATGATTCACCTTGTTGTTTCAATGGGCGTAAAACACGCGCAAAGTAATTGAACTGGTCACACCGTAATTAATGTTCTAGAACAGAGATAGGAATAATGAAAATTGCGGGAGTCAGATGGACAGCGTAAAAAAATAGTAATCTGGGAGCAGAAGTTAGAGTAAGAAGTGCTAATTAGCAAAATGGCTTATTCGTTCAGGGCCCTGTATTTTGTCTCATGATGCGGTTGCCTCATTACAGGCGAGGAAAGTAGTGCCAACACAGTGAGTCAACTGTACTCCAAGGGAAGTTTCGCAGCCTTCTGAAGTCATTGAGTACCTATCAACAATGCCTCTCTCATTAAACTCTGCAGAAACTCAGATCCAACACTATCTTAATAGGTGTATGAGGGATGGGCGGAGTCAAAAGTTTGATGGTTGTGGATGATTTAGCGGTACTAGTGATGTGTGCTTTCACCTTCTTCGATGACTATATTCCCTGGTACCTGCCTACTCAGGTGCTCAGGTCCACGACCTCTTACCCAACAGAAATGGATATAGTGGAGTAACCCAGTTAACTTTCCTAGTTGTGAAGCAAACACACAGTGTCTTCAGTTTACAGTCCATTCCTGGCCTCTCTGTCCTCGTCCTGGCTACTCCCTAATGTAAGTCGTGAAGCATATGCAGTGCACTTGCTTGCTCTTTCAACCGGTACCCCTACAACAGAGACTTCTCTCCATGCTGAGGTTTAACTTTCTCCTGACGTGTGGTTGCAACTCTTCTCTTACGTCTGTTGACTCCAGCCATCCCTTTTACACCTATTCCTTTAACTAATGAAGTGCAAACCCTTGGCGAACCGTGCAAGCGCGATACCGCTAATTGATGGGCTGGGCCGTAGTATGCGTTTACTCATGGTCTTCCGCTAGTAGCTCGTGGAGAGCCTGACATGGGCTAGCTACAGCAGTAGAAAGCATGCGAGAGTCGATACAGGCCCTCCCTCCGTTGAGACTTCTTGAGCCTCCAAGGTGCGCAGAGCAAGCACATTTTGTCAAGGTAAGCCTGTGCTAATTTGCAATTGGCTTGTTCACTTGCTTTTCAAGCCACAACTCTCAAATGCAGTATTTTTACGAAAATCCCAGTTTTAAAATCAAGCCAGTGTAGCGCCGAACCTATTGCCATAGCTTGTTGGCTGTATCGTTGCGCCTAGTGGTGGTAACACACACACACACACATTCAGAGTAAAAAATAATTTCAAAAATCCCCATTGCCATCCCCATAATTGTAGTAAAAAACCACGTGCATGCTAAGCCGCCCGCGCAATAATTAGTTCGCAATTATCCAGCCCTACCTTGGCAATACCTACAACTCGATTAGTTTTCTGGATGAAGAAAATGGTATGCCAAGAATGCTTTGAAAATGAATAGCTAATGAGGTTCATTTTGGGGTAAGACACCCACCCACAGGTGTCTTAGTGATAAGACACCTGTGGTTAGGTGGCTTACTTATAACTAAGACACTGCAACACAATCTACAGCAGTACAATGCATACACTGGGAATAACACATTGTTCAAGGAAACTATCTACTGTCCAATAGTGAAGTTTATCGTGAAATTGCCACCAAAGTTCATTCCCGGTGCACCTGACACCATAGCCTTCTTAGAAGCCACAAGTTCAGCGCTCTCACTTGCTGTGCCCAAACTGAAAACAGATTCTTCTTTTTTCTGCGTGTCAAAGGATTGACCTTAACCCTCTTGCCCTGATTCAATACATTGGACGATAGTTCTTTCAGCTTATCACTCTATCGCTTATATGTGCTCACTCCACTGGTTGATCTGTGGCCAGTACGATCCATTATTGTGGCTTCGTCAACTTGGGCATCGTAGAGTTGTGTTGCAGCCGTTGCTCGTAGAGAATGATTAGTAAAATAACCTCGTATCCCTGCAGATTTCATAAGCCGTGGCACGACCTGCGACAGCTTGTTGTGGCCAAGTGGAACCTTCCTAAACCAACAGGTTTCAGTGCGCCGCACTAGTGGAGCTAGATAAAATGCATGGTGAGGACGATCTGCTGGACAAAGCGAGTTACATAACTGAAATAGGCGAACCAAACAACGCGAAGGGTTGGATTCATTTTGATGATGAACAACCTCCTTTGGAATAAGCTTACGCTGCTTTAAACCAGCTTGGTTTGTCTTAGACATGTCTTCCATGTAACAGACATAGGCTTTCCCTGTGGGCGGTTCAACTAGCGTAAGCTGAGATGGGTTATGGCGTAAACGTCTGTGTTCTTCACCACTTCGCAAGGCAAAAAAAGTCCAATCAAATAAACCATTGTATCAGACAAAACTTGGGGTGAACTGTCCCCTAGAAGCCCTTTTTCCCACGTATCTCTTCCATCTCAACCAGTAATCACACAAGCCTTTTTCTTATGCACATAATTCCCTGTTGCATTTAACCGTTTTAGCTCACCATCCAGAACAAAACGAAAATGACTAAAAGTGAACTGTTCAAAAAAATTTATGTCACGATCAGCATCTCTCAGAGCTCGCTGCAATCCACAACAGAGCTGATATAGGCTATCAGGAGAGTAATGCTCACCATTCTCTCTTCTTGCCTCGAGTACAAACCTTTGAAGCCAAAAAGCTATGGAGATGTCTCGCAACAACGAATGGGAATCTGTCCCTTCTTCGGGCGTTACGTTCTGTAGGCGATTGGAGGGCCATTGTCGCCACATCCTGATTGCCCACGTAGTGTTTGCCTTAGTCTTCCTCGGTACGCGGCTCTCTTCTACCTGTGCGATCTCGCGCGCAGACTGGGGCGTCCCGAAGCGACAGCCACGAGTAGATGGTTCAACAGCTTGATCTCCCCTGACTCGAAAAGTTGTGATGCCGCCAATAGCAGCGATTCTGTGTCAGCGTCTACGAAGTCGTCGACGGCGCTCAGTAAATCCGGAGGCCTCTCCTCCACAGGGTTTCATCGAAGAGCTGCTCCCAACAAAGGTTGAACGCGGACGCGGACGAGCTATCCATTTTCTTAACAAGTAACACGGCAGATTCGAGTGTCTTCGTGGTTCTAAAGACCGCGTGGTCGGCTGAATGACACAATAGAAACCTCGGCTCCGCCTCGGTTACTATTGCGTCATTCCAGCCTCCCACGCGGTCTTTAGAACCACGAAGACACTCGAATCTGCCGTCTTACCTATACGAAGAGATCTGCCTTGTCTCAGCAGCTGTTCTTCAGGCAGCCTCATCAACTATCCCACCACATAAGCCAACAAAGGACAAAAAGCTCTTCTCTCATGATCCTGAATTGAGGGACCTAAGCAGGAAATGTAAATCTGCCTGGAAGGTATGGAAGAAAGCAGGGCGCCGATCTCAAGGTCCTGTGTATGACGAGAAGGAAAGACTCTTCCGTCTAACAAAGAAATGTGCTAACAAATGTCGCGCTAACCAAGAACGTAATTCTTGGAAGAAGAGAGAAAAATTGTTCAAGAAATATGATTCCAGGCATTTCAAGACACCCTCCAATCAACCCTCCCTCAGAGACAAGCTGCTTTATGGAGGGTCTGTCACTGCAGATCCAGCCAAAATACAGTGTTGCTGGTCAAACCACTTCAAGTCGCTCTTCCAATCTCAAATTGGGTCCAGCTCAAGCTTAGCTGACACCAACAAGGCTTGAATTCCTGTCAAAGATGAATTTTCTGACATCATTGACGACAACTTCACTGTCGAAGAGATTGAGGTGAGCATTAGAAAGTTGAAATAAAACAAAGCCGGTGGCATTGACGGACTCCAATCCGAACATCTCAAGTTTGGTGGCACACTCCTCATGTTATGGCTGGCCCAGATCTTTAGTGCCTTCATTCAGTTCGAGCAAGTTCCACCATCTCTCCTAACAGGCATCATATTATGTCAATTTATAAGGGAAAGGGTAAAGACCCTCTCTCTTGCCACAGCTACACATTACTTCAGTTCTCATGAAGGTCTTTGAGTACACCTTACTCAATAGAATGCTGCCAGTACTTAAAAAGCATGGTCACCATTCCCTTACTCAAACTGCCTACCAGAAGCACATGTCATCTCATGCCAAAATACCATATTTGCCACTCAGGAGGCCATACAGCACAACCTTAGAGATGGCAGAGTCTCTTACCTCTCCCTGGAGAAGGCCTCTGACTCCGTCAAACACTGCTTTCTACTCCAATCACTCTTTGACGCTGGCATCAATGGCAAAGCATGGAGACTCATCAAAGCGTGCTACAGCAACCTAACAGCTGTGGTAAAATCTGAATCAACTCCCTCAGATTGCTTCTCAGTTACACATGGTGTCCAACAGGGATCGGTACTCTCACCACCTTATTTCTTGTCATTATGGACAAACTATTACAACAGCTGAGGGACACATCTGCAGGGTTATCAATTTGCGGCCTCTATCTCGGCGGTGCAGCTCATGCCGACGACATTCGTGCTATTGCATCCTCAGCTTCTGTCACCGAAGAGCAAGGTCAGATCATGCATGATTTTGCCATAGGAAATGGCCTTAAGCTAAATAGCGAGAAAATAGAGAATTGTAAAGATATCTCAATCCAACTGTCATGAAAAAGACCATCTACTGGAGCACACATTTGAGACTGTACCACAAGCAGTATGCCTTGGCTACCTATGGTCTCACAATTTGCCAGCAAGACAGAGTGTCGAATCACACATTAACAAGGCTAGACATCAATTCTTTGCTCTTGGATCCTTGGGTGGCTTCCTTGGTCACTCAAACCCTGGTGGTAGAAACCTGTGTCATACTCTATGGAGCCGAGAACTGGATCCTTGATGAAGGCTGCCTGGAACTTCTAGAACTCTTATGGGAAGAATCCTCAAACACCTTACCTACATCCTTACTGCCTTGTTGTGACAAGATTAGACCAGATACACATGCCTGCCTTGGGTCATACCTGCTGGCATCTTCTTCCAACCACCATGTGGAGTACATGCTGTATATGCCCTAATGTAGCCGTCCTTTGCAGCAGTTGGCCAGTCGAGTCTTGGTTGACTCCTACATAGGTGCTGCATTGCCAGATGATGTGAGTGATAATGTTAGGGAGAGTGGTAAGTGGTCAGAGAAGTTGAGAGGGTGATGGTCAGATGTCTCGCAACTTACTACGAGAGGAGCATGTCTGGCGTCTGTGAGGATGTAGTCGGTAGTGATACGGACATCCTCCCTAAAGGAAGTGTATGAAGGTCCAGAGGATAGGCTGCTTTGGGAAGTGATGATTAGGTCATTGTTGTGGACCATATCTAGCAGCAGCTTGCCATGGGCATTTTGGCTGCCTGATGCTTTAGGACCACCTTCTGGGCCTACATGACAGATGAAGTCTCCGGCGAGAACTACAGGACCGACATGTTTGTTGATTAAGTCTTCCATAGTGTGTATACAAAAACAGAAGTCGTCTGTGGGATAATCCGTGCTGGGGTGGTATACTCCAACAACAAGGATGGGAGAAGTTGTGGAGTCTATGGTGACAGCACAGATTCTGTCAGATTCAATTCCAGCAACTGGTGAGACGTTTGTTCAGATGATTCCAATACCGCCGCATCCTCCTGGTCAGTTGCTATCAGGATTGACCATCCCAACCATTTCTGGATGGATATAACTTAGCTTATGTAACTCAAATGGCCACAGCCAGTGCTCACTGATGACGATGATGTCATGTTTGTCAGCCAAGTGCTCAATGTATGGGAGGCCATTTGAGAGACCTCTGCAGTTCCATGCTGCAATACTAAGCGTGACTGTAGCATGGGGAGGTGAGTCGTTGACCGCCGCAGATGCATAGCACTGAGCCATCTGAGTTGTAGCTGTTGTTTTTGCTATCCGGTCCTGTGCTATGTCATTTACTACACATTTCATCTGCTCCAGTTCGTGCTTTATGGAACTGGGGTTGGTGAACTTTTCCACGGAGTTCATTCTATGCTCAAGTTCATCTAGTTTGGTCATGAGAGAATATAGGTCTTTGACAATCACAATAGACTGAGCAAGGGGAAAGGGCATGGGCAGAGAGACGTCGTTGGGTTCCCTTGCCTCGGTCACTAGGGAGAGTGATTGGCTGGATGCAGATTGTTGAGAGTAGGTCAGTGCATCAGCAGAGGCACACTCCACCTGTTTGAGACATTTCTCGGACGATCTCCAAACGGAGAGGTCTTTTATGGAGCACTTCCCATTTCTCACTAGTGTTCGTGGAATACATTTACGATCCTTGATTGATATTGCTAAGGTTAAGATATCACTCACGATAGCAAAGTTTCTGGGACGTACAGAACACCCCTTCCTTTTGACTAATGCGTCATTTGGATTAGCGAGTGAACATGACCTTGCTTCTTCGAATAGGCGCAGTCTTAGCCCAGTTAGGTCGTCAAGAGAGAGAGAGAGAGCAGTTCATCGGTACACTCATCCAGCGAGACCAGGGTGTCCATGGTTCCAGTCACGCTTGAGGTTGGAAAGCTGTTGGGATAAAGACGGATAGCGGTGACGGGTGGGTGAGAGAGTGAGCGAGGAGACAAGGTAAGTCCTCGGCAACGGGCAACGGGCGGACTTCACACATGGTTACCAGCCACCATTTTTGTCGCCATCACCCCATTGTGTACCGTAACCCTCGCTGTGCATGCACGCCGAGGGTTAATAAGGCTATGTCAGGCACTGCACATGCCATAATGTTCTACGTGATTCTAGTTCGGGGGAGGGGGCTGAGCCGTTATCAGGAGAGGGGACACGTATTTGCATCATATGAGGTGGTGGCTGAGTGAGAGAGGGTATCCAAAACACGTGTGAAATATTTAGCTGCTTGCACTGTAATGTTATACGTCATTCTAAGCACGTGCAAAACACATTCGAAATATTGAACTGCTCACACTTGGTCGCCACTAGTTACAAACCAGCTTCTCCCGAGAGTCGATCCCCTAGCCTAAATTAGAAGTTCCAGTTAGAAGTGCAGTGGGTGGTATTGATGCTGCTAGTGTGGAGTTTGGTGTTAGAAATGATGGAGGGTACAAGTTGTTTTTCGTCTGGTGCCGTATCAATATCAGACGATCAACTGACACTGTGTTCTCTTGTTTGTTAAGGTCCAAGTTAAAGCTGCCTGGTGAATGTATGACAAACACTGTCATATTGGCGGCTGTAGGTGCTTGCAGACAAAATTTAACAATAATGTGTGTGCATCTTTGTCGAAGTGGATGTGTGTTGCCACTGCTAGCACTGATCTGGTGCATAGCATTTTGGCCTTACAAGGTATGCTGGATCGTTAAGTAGGACTGGTTGTTTGCATCGTATAGCACTCTTCAGCTTGTTGTTAGTGTTAGGTTTTTAATGGAGTATTGTAATCATTGAAGTTGATCTACTCCACCTGTGTATAATTTACTCTGTGCATGAGCACAATGTCTTTAAACCCGACAGGTAAATTAGGCTACTGCCCGAGTTTCTTCAGCTCTAAGTCTGAAACCAATTTAGGAGGTAACTGAGGTCATTTTTGATATTGTTCATGAAGGTAACTGACCTCTTTTTTGATAAATTCATGGCCAAAGGAACCAGAAAACTTCTGATTTTTCTGATTTCTCCTTAATTTATCCATGAGTTCGAGTCCCACAAAAATAGCATCCATCTGTGTACATGGGAACAATTGTGTTCCGTACATTGTAAAGTGTTATTTTGAGTTAATTATTCATGAGTCTGACATGTCCATAGGAGCGAGAAACTGCACATTGAATAGTAGCACATGCACCCGCGCATATGTAAGCCATTGCTTTGCATGCGTTCTATGGTGTTCTTTTTCACTTTTTAGAAGTAAAAAGACTTCCTGCATATCCAGTTCAATGTACATTGAACTGACACGCAAGAACATGGAACCGGACATGGGGGAATTTGAAACAAAAATTTTCAGGCTTTATAACAAAGCCTAAAGGTTTGGAGTAATATTTCCTTGCTCTATGGCATAGTAGAATTCAACCCATGAAGCCTAAATGTGGTTTTTAAACTCCTTATTGCATTCACCGCAGGTAGTAGCTTTTTAACGTCAACCACATTATTTGTACACCTTACACCACTGTTGCCCCATAGACTAGATTCTGATAAAGCTTGCCATGTGATGGTGAGGAACCAAACGAGAAACTGACTGCGTTGCTGGTAGTATGTCTGGTGTATCATTTCTAAATGCATGTTTTCTGTACTGATACCAATCGCACTTTGTGTTTGCCGTTTAGCATGTTTTAAATCTGTCCTTTAGGAACTTTTGATGCTCTAAAAGTGATAGCAAAGAACGACAAAATGTCTGGATTATACAGAGGAATTGGACCTACAATTGCATCCATTGCTCCTTTTGTTGCAATACAGCAGGTCACATATGACCTTCTGAAATATAAAGCTGGTAACATGAGCATGGAACCAAGTGTGCTCCTGTTCGTAGGATGCGGCAGTGCAGCTGGAGTTGCTGCACAGACAGTATGTAAGACTTAGTGCTTAGACTTATGCTATGGTACTGGGGTAAGGTGATACTAGGTTGATTGAGGGTATTCAATACATACACTAGACAGAGATTTAGGTGATCAATGAATGAGAGGAGTTTCTAATAGTAGTACAGTGCTGTGCACATGAGATTGGAACTTGCATTTAGGTCCATTACTCACATAAGATGGCAACCCTGCCAGGATTTTAGGATATGGACCATGCCACTGGTTGATGTCAGCCCAAAGGACTATCAAAAGATACTGTAGCACTCCTAGTCCGGTGCGATCATGGGTAACGGTTCCTGCGTTGCGTGTCCACAGTGCAGTCCGACAGGGATTGGGCTGAAGTGAATAATACTCTGATATCTTAAAATCAGTCGTGATCATTTATAGCTAGCTACTGACATATGCAGTGGTGATAACGTACAACCATTGATTGTGGCTAAGACAACCATAACCATAACATGACAACAGACAAGTTTATGAACAGTTACCTGTGCAGTTGGACAGACAGTGCGGTACCAATGTGACAGGCCATGTTTCCCACAATACTTCCCTACAGTCAAGAACGTGGACACATCAGATATCTTGTCAGAAACAAGAGCCATACTGTGTACTGACTGCATTCTTTGGCAAAATTCCTGCATTCCATAGGTTAATGAGTTCTATACGTGATTTATGGGAACGAGGTCGAGAGACTCATACAGCCCGAGGCGCAGCCGAGTGCTGTATCGGTCTCGAGACCACAACCCAGAGTTCCCATAAGTCATGTATAGGACGCACATTATGTGTTTTATTGTGACTTTGTAGCAGTCGTCGACCTCCAGCGAGAGAAATACGACTGCGTAGCATGCGCACGTGCGCACTCGCTGGCTTCTCGAGCGAGTTATCTGTTCTCGAGGCTACCGTAATCGAACAAGGTCGTGATGGTGGCTTTTTCTCACTCAGAGAAACTCGTTTCATAGGTCGCTGGGCCGTTTGACCGGTCGGTGTGCCGCGGCCGCGGCCTTGCCACTGGGAGCTGAATGAAGGGGTGTGGTCGCCTCAGGCCTCTACTGCCTCTACAGAACAGTCATCCATCACATCTAAAGCCTCTACAGAACAGTTTTTGTCTACACTATGGGTACGATGCTGATGCTAGTTCAATAATTCGAGAATGGCTCAGACCACGCGACTATTCAGAGTTGTATGAGGAAGGTGAGGTTGAAATATCAAGGTGTATGGCCCTCAAACAGCTAAATTTAGTAGCAATTACTTCCACATTTCAGGGGGTGTGGCTTTATTACGCACAACTATAAAAGCCCCACAATTCCTTGCAACCTCGGCCTTCGGATTAGCTCCTCATACTGCATGGTCTTACTCCTCACCTGTTGCCTAGCAGCAACATAACCCAACCCCTTAGCTTATACTCCTCATCTTTCACCCTTACAGGGAGGGTGGGAGGGACCGTTGATATTTCAACCTCACATACTACTCTGAATAGCTTGCAACCACTGCGTGGTCTGAGCCATTCGAATTGTATTTCGGAAGGCTCGGTCTCATATCAACGGTGTTGTTTGTAGCAAGCCTACTAATCTTTCCCCATGAGTTTCCTTTGAGAGCTTCTCTCTTGCATTACTCAAGGATCAAGAGCTCCACTCTCCCTTCCCGACGACACCACTCAGTGCCTAATATCAGTGGTAGAGAGCACCGCCCTCCCTAATAAAAACAGACTCGGAACTTCTGTCCGCAGCCTTCAGTATATTATCATTAGTCGTAATCCCCAAGTTTGCAGCTGCTGAGGACGATGCCCCTCGTACCGAGTGGGCACTAAACACAGATGTATCAATTCCTGCCGCTTCCAGCAGAGATAAAGCCATCTAGCTATTGTGCTAGACGTAACTGCCTTGTATGGTAATTGTACGGTCCTCATAGGCCTTTACAGTTACCACTGGACAGAGTCCAGGGTCATGTGGGAAGGAAGGGAAGAAAAACTCCGTTATTGGTTTCCCTTGTCTAGATTGCTTACCCAGACTGCTTGGTCTGAAAGTCACACCTTCTGGCTTACATGTAAACTTAGCTGAGATAGACCAGCTGACCTAGAGGGGCGTGTCAACGCTAGTAACATTGTTGTTTTCCAACTCAACTGTTTCAATGACAGGGAGTCATTGTTGCCCCATGATGATGTATGTGACAGTACTGTCTGTACATTCCATGTACATGTGTACCTAGGCAGTTGGGGTCTATCATTAAAGACACCTTTCATCAATCTTGTAACGAGGGGGTGTTGCCCCACTGTATAGCCATCTATTCTCTCATGTACCGATGAGATGGCAGAGCGGTAGGAGTTGAGGGATCGATACTCTTTATGTAGGTGTGCCAGGAAGTTTACAACTTCCCTTATAGGGCCTGAAAAGGGATCTGAACCCCTTGAACAACACCAGCTATGCCACTTACCAAAGAGTGAGTCGTAAGACTTGTTGGTCTTAGTCCTCCAGGATCCGAGCATGAGTGAGGTAGCTTCCTCCGAAAGCTCTTGGTCTCGGTATCTCTCCCTGAGATATACCATGCGACTAGCTGGGGGACGAGATCCTCCGGATCTCTGTTCAGCATTATCTGATCGTGATTGATCAGACGTGGTATTGCAATTAGCATTTGTAATAGTAGGGGGTACCATGGTTGTATCTTCCAGACTGGTGCCACCAGAACAATGCGAGCCTTGTCCATTTGTATTTTGGACAGTACCCGCCCTATCAGACTCCAAGGTGGGTTGGCATACCCTTTGATTTGAGACCAGTCCTGAAGGAAGGCATCTGTTGCCGCTGCATAGGGATCTGGCCGCCAGCTGAAAAAGGCTGGGCACTGCGCTATCAGACGAGATGCGAACAAATTCATCTCTATGGGACCGAAAAGGTGTGTGATCCTGTTGAATATCACAGGATTCAGCTGCCAGTCTGACCGATCTATCATAGTCCGAGACTCTGCATCGGCTATTACATTCAGGACACCCGGTAGATGTTAGGCTATGATGTGGATATTCCTTTCCAGGCACCACATCCACAGGCTCTTTGCCAAGTCCACCAATTCCTTGGAGACTGTTTCTTCCCAGGTTGTTGATGTATGCCACTGCCGTGTTATTGTCCAACCAGAGGAGTGCTGACATCCTGGATTTGTTTTTCAGGAATGTCTTGACTGCTGGTGTTGCGGCTAGCAGTTCCAGGCAGTTTATGTGCATTCAGCTTTCTGCCTGGGACCACGGACCTCCGGTCCTCTGGTTCTGACTGGTTGCTCCCCAACCTGTCAGAGAGGCGTCTGAATCTATTGTCACGTCCACTTCCTTCTTGAGGAGGGACTTCCCATTCCAATTTATCATGTGGGTGTCCCACCACATCAGTTCCTCCCTGCACTCCGTTGTCAGGGGAACCTGTGCTTCGTAGCACTGGGAATGTTGATTCAGTGTGGCCGCCAGAGCCATCTGTAAGTGTCGATAAAAGAGTGGTGCTGGTGGGATTACTTGCATTCCCAACCAGCCGAGCAAGGGCCCTTCCTGAGACCTGCTCTTGCCTCATCATGGCCCGTGACTCCGCACGGATCTTCTTTATCTTGTCCACTGGGAGTTTCAACTCCATTTGGACTGTGTCTACTGTCAAGCCCAGGAATTCCATCACTTGGGCTGGCTCTAGCACAGGTTTATCTTGAAACCTAGACATTGCAGGAGGTACACTACTGCCTCTGCATGTCTCTTTGCTTGTTTCTGGGACTCCGCCACATGGCCTGTCCCTGTGTTGGAAGGTCTGGGCTCCGCCCCTTCCGAATCGTCGGTTGAAGCCCCCCCGATTGGTGGGGGGGCCACCCATTCTTGTTTCTTGCTGATGGTGGACCTCATTACCTTCACTTGTTCCACCATAACTTTACTCTTCTTGGCAAGCTCCGTGCCGAAGAGAAAGGGTGCCGCTTCCTTAAAGTTGTTATCGTCTCCGACGATTGGGAGAAGGGCCTTGTTGAATTCACTTACGATCCTCTCTCTCCGGAGGTGCAATAAGTGGTCATTGGCGTTGCCAATGAGGTGCATGCCCGACTTCACCGCCTGGATCACCTCCTTGTGATCCAAAGTAACACCTTTATGGTGTGCCTCTAGGATGGAGGTGAGAGGTGCCAGGGAGTCTAGCAGCAACGACTGCACTTTCGTCAGTTTTCTTGTCTGCAGCTTTGGTGGCAGTGGAAGTTTCCGACTTGATCATTGGATCCAGCTGCCTGGTCTAGTTTCTGGCACCTTGGGCAGAGGGAATTTTTTCTCTTATTTCCCTTCTTTCGGAATTAGGCACTCTCCGAGTGCACTTTTCCCGGAGGAATTTTCCTGTCCTCTCCGACACCTCCGTCAGTTTGGTGCGAGACTGGTCCTCAGTCTCAGAATCGCTAAAATGCACCTCCGCAGCATAGTCCATAGCTTCGGACTCTGAGGCAGACATGCGGTCAGCCCAGGACCTGCGGGAGTGACGAGCCGGCGATTTTCCCTTGCGACCCCGTTGTTGGCGGGGAGAGCGTGATCCCGGACTCTCCGAGTCGTCGTCGCCAGTTGCCCTCGGCTTTCGACCTTGCTTCAAAACACTCCTTTCTAGAAAATATTGCAGAAAATTCAGAAAAGTGAGGAAGAGCCTGAAATCACTGGGATAAGTGGAAAAAGTTACGTAAAAGCTGCAAAGCGTAAACCCTTTTCCGCACACAATATATTTTTTTCGAGGAATTTACACTTCGTCTTTACAAAGAAAAGAAAAAGAAGGAAAAAAACCAAGGAAACACAAAAAACTAAAACAAACAAAACGCAACGCAAACTCAAGGCTGCTCTAATGCGCGTAGTTTCCATGGACGAGCTTTGGGTTACCGTGTGTTGCGGTCCATGCGCAGAAGTATGCGTGCAAATACGCACCGCATCCACTAATACAGCCTCTATCTTACTCCAATTCTGCTCCTGACCCTCGGAGATGGCAAAAGCAACTGCAGGAAGCCCGCATTCACCACCGCTTATGGTTGATAATGTCTTTCACTTGTGACATTTTAGATCAATCAACATCTGTTTATCTACTTCTACATCGTTCAATACCAGTGTTACGGGGGTCTCACAAACTTAGTGGTAAAGAAGAAGCAACCCCTTGTATAACTAAGCTTGTCCCGCGAATGAACATGTGAGTGTATAATATATCACTGGGGACAGCTCACTCCATCACTCAGATTTTCTCTCCACACAGTATTACATGATAACTGAAGCTGTACAACCTTAAGTTGATAAACCAATAATATGAAAGTAAGCAATGGTCTTGGGTAGTTCCATCCTAGATCACTTGGCACAGCTTAAGCATCCAAGTTCTTGTCTCTATGTGCACTGTAAATAGTGATATTATGATGCTGGGGAGACTGGGGATAGTTGCACAATTCTAGTTTATAGTCAGTGCAGCAGGAACTCCTTTTATAAGCTGCTATTTTTTCTTTAGGCTATTTATCCATTGGATGTTATTCGGCGCAGACTACAGTTAGGAAGTGATGGGTGTACAATCTGGGTTTGTGAGGATGCTGAGAACTCTGAGCCTAAAAGAATTGTTTGGTGGACTTTCTGCAACATACTTAAAAGTTATACCTGCAGCAGCAATTAGTTTATTAATTCGTGATTCTCTATTAGGTAGACTGAATCGAAATTAACTTTTTGGTGTGGATTGTTTATGATTATAGAGGAAATGCTGTATAATACTATAAGAGGAAGCAATGCACAAATGGGTGTAGTAAAAAAACCTGCACTAGGCACAGGTGTGGGGGGGGGGGTAATCAGAGACCAAGCAAACCATGTCGCTACAAAACTGCTGATTTGTATGCTGAACAGCCAATCAGCATTATGTTCTTACGTAGTCAGCAGATTTTCGTAGGCAGCCAGTATGCGGTTTGCATACTATGGACAGAACCTACCAAGCACCTTTCTCACAGTGGGTAGAGCGGTGTAGAGACTACAGTTGCGTAGTTGCAAAAATTAACATGCATGAATGCCTGACAAACGAAACATCAAAAATAAATCAGCAATATGAAAGTTTTATGCAAAAATGAACTTTCCTCAGTCCTGGCCACCATGTCTGCAATGAATGACTGCACATCTAAAGCTCTTAATTTGGACAACTAGGTTAGCTCGCTCGCCAATTAACCCTCGGCGCGCATGCGCAGCTACAGTAGTCGTTCTGTCTGTGTGTGTGTCCGTCAGTCGACGCTTTTATAGGCTACAAGGCGTCCTACCAACTGCTGCAGAACTACGCGAGCCTGAAAAATAAAAGAGCGATTTTGCTGAAATCACTGCGTTGAAACCGGCACGGTCGCGGACCGAATTGCGCGCCCCAACCCATCAAAGTTTTTCTGGGAAAAGATAAAGACGCAGAAAATAATAAAAGCAACACAAAAACCAAGCAAAAGAAGTGGAAATGTTGAACATTGTTGGCGAGCGGGAGCGACCCAACTTTGGATTTGCCCGCGATGTTCCGGGTGCCGTCGGCGCAGAGCTTTCCTTTCGTGACGCAAGACAGATCTACCTGTCGCCGTTCGGCGTTACATGCGTATTGTACATTGGCAGAACGGTGAGCAGGTGAGCAGAACGGGACCTCGTCAGTCGTGGTCCACCAGGCAGCTGGCATGCAGCAGTAGCGTATCTGCAAGTTGCACCTTGTAACCATCAATATTTTGAACAGGTATATACAGCCTCGGTCAGTCACCGAAGGTTGCAGCGCGTGCCGTCGAATGGAGGAGAGTTCTCTAGATCGATCGGCGCATATCGCGAGGCACCGCGTGTGTGAAAGCGCGTACAAAGCCGCGCATGCGCACTTACACGACGTATGAACGATAAATGGCCCGTTAATTGCGACGACTAGGTTGGCTCGCTCCCGCTCGCCAATTAGAAATGCGCGGCGCGGCTGACTTTGACCTAGTCGCTCGCTCTGCGCACCTTGAAGGCACAAGAAGTCGCAATGAATGGCGTGTATCGATTTCCGCATGCTATAATCTACCACTGTAGCTATCCTGTGCCAGACTCTCCGCGAGCTATATACTAGCAGCATATGGATAGCCCAGCCAATCAAATAGCGGTATGGCGCATGCGCAGTTCGCCGAGGGTTTGCACTTTGTAACTAGGATTTAACATGTTCACTGGCTTGACAAGCAAAAACTGCATTAGTTACACATAAAATGCTGCCAGGGCATGTAAGACTCAACATTGACACAAAAACAGTGACACTGCTATTCCACAAAACTGGTAAGAAGTGTCTTCATTCAGTCAGGAATCCAAAGGTTGCAACAGTTCAACCTGAGTAGTGATAAGTCATGTCTATAGTGGAGACACAAAAGCTGACCAGAGAAACCAGCACATGTAGACCAGAGGAATAACAAGTTTGGAAGCTAACTGTTGTTTGGATACAATGAAGACTCTTATGCCATATTCCACTGATACTGTGTATGCTCAGTGGAACTGCATGGCAATGACCTTGATCCAGTGTATGCCACTAAGGACACCATCACAACGGAACACTGAGGTAGCTACAGCCTTTTGTTATTGACTACTGTATAAGACATCGTCAGAGTAGGAACAGAGTTAATCTACTTTGTTTTTGGGTGATACACAGGCATAGCAGCACAACCGTAAGCCCTACATTCAGTGTGCAAAAGTAGTCAAATATACCTACAGCACGTGGAAAAGTTGGCACATTTCTTGCTTCGGATGGATATGACATCTTTAGGACCATGTTTCACGTCAAAAGTTCTTGTGGACAGAGTAGCTGGAAAGATGTCATGTCCTCTATAATGCCTCTGATGGGTAAGACTGTCCCTTACAAGTGACATATGTGCAAGAGCAACTCTTTGCTTTTATGATTCTCTACTGGCAGTTACATAATGATATCGAATACGAACCTCAGATGTACTAAACTTGGCCAAAGTATAAAGTTAAACAGAGTTTATTGGGGAGCATGGAGTGTTGTTGAACACGTCTTTTAGTGTACTAAAAGTGTGCCAAACATGCCATAAAATCATACACTTTTAAATTTACCAACATCTTCCAAACTGGTCATGGGAACATGTAAGTCTATCAGGGTAGGGCCTTGGCCTTGGCATAGATTTGCTCAGGTGGAAATGCCAGGATAGCAGCCGGAGAGGCATGAGAAATAGGAGGGAAAAACAAATCCCTTGGGACTCCTATATACCGACCTCAATTTGAACCTGATTGAGAAGAGTATACGTTGATATATCTGAAAACATGAACGACCACACCTCTAACAGTTGTACAGGGGACAGAAGTGAAATTGTTTCTTGCTGCTGTAGCCGGCTATAACCTCGCCTGCGACACTCAGTCTTCTGTGGCGCATTACTACTGTTCGTGCCAGTAAGGGAACTCCTCTAATGGGAGTGTACAGTTATAGCTACGTATATGGCAGTAAACCCTCGAGAGACCGAGAAATCAAGCTAGAAATCGTTGTAGAACTGAAAAGCACTGAAGTGCAAACCCTGGGCGTGCGCTAATTGATGGGCTGGGCTATCACTATGCGTTTCTCCCGCTAGTATAATCTCGAGGAGAGTCTGGCATTGGCTAGTAGATAACATGATGGGAGTCGATACATTTGACTTCTTGTGCCTTCAAGATACACATATAGCGGTGGAGGTCAGCCGCCGTGCTGCACGCGTATAATATACGCATGCGCACAGCTGTTGGGTCACGCAACTTAGCTTTCGAACGCAGTCGTTTCAGGAAAATCGCCCTTTTAATGTTCAGGCTCGCGTACTTCTGAAGCCGCTGGTATCGCTACCGCCTCGTAGCCTGTAGTGCCAGAAATAAGCGTCGACACAGACACACAGAGACAGACAAACCAACCCTCGATGCGCATGCGCCGAGGGTTAATCACGCGGAAACTCACGAAGAAATCACGTGGAAATCTGGGAATGAGTGTCGGCCAGTGTCGGACCCCTCTCGAATAGCTAGGAGCCGGCGTCGCGCTTCAAATGAGAGTCGCTAACCGCTGGGAGACGAGAACTAGAAACTCCGTCACACAGAAAAACACCGGCCTCTCTCTCTCTCTCTCGAGAACGGCTAATTTATCACCACATGTGCATGACACTTCTTCTACATATTATGTACAAATAAACAATATGTTGTTCTTGAATGTTAAACGGCATCGTCCATCCACATGCTCAACCGTTGCTGGATAGGACTACGTGTGCCAGTACAGAGAACATACGAGGTCCATTTCTTTTCGATCACTTTCTAAACCAGGCTTATAACGCAGGTTCTTGTGTCGACCCTGTCCAGTTGGGTCGCTCCCGCTCGCCAACAATGTTTAACATTCTACTAGTATCTGTAGGTTTCATCATAGATAAAAGGTGCAATAACATAATGTACAGTTTATAATAATGCTATTGAAAGCTATTTTTGAAGGTAACCTTTTGATACAATTCTTCAAGTTTTGATATATCTTTTACTTTAGAACAGAATGAGATATCAAAAAGTCTTAACTTCGAACAAGCTTGTAGAATTCTGGAAGGAAAAGAGATTCATAGTTAAACATGAACAGTACTAAACTGTAATGCCTTGACACTCGTACAGTGATCATACCGAAGCAATATTTATAGTATGCAGTATAGAGCTTGTGCTGGTAGAAACTTCAGATTTGTTAAACAATACCTGGAAAGAATAAAACCCCCATCAGTTCCCCCTTTGTCGAGCGCTTTATACGAAAATAAAAAGCACGAAAGTACAAACCCTCGGCGAACTGCGATGGGCTGGGTTATTAGTATATAGCGTTTAATGATAGATTGCAGGGGCGTAGGCAGGATTTTTACAAATGAGGGGGCAAAAACGAAAAAGCGCGCGCGAAAATGTTTATACCGGAAGCCGCGCACGTAATTTACACTGGTGGCCATGTTTCAACACATAGAAGATCTCGTGGGATTGGTAGCTAGATGTTTTGTACACAAACAGTTGTCAGACATAAGCTTCACTTGACTACTGCTATGTACACTACGTGGGGTGGCACTATAGGAACCACGATAGTGCACCACGTTTTTACTACATAAAAGTCGTTTTATTCAAGATTCTATTTTTCTACCACGTTTTTACCGCTACAAGTAAGTCATTCGATCTTTTTCTACCATGATTTTACTGCTACAAGTGAGTCATTCTACCTTGTTTTTACCACTCCAGTAAGTAAGCTAGATTCTATTTTTCTATTTTTCTACCATGCTACCAATTTCATTTTTCTACCATCTATATGTATATATTTATATGTATCATACTCTACATGTGTTGTCGTGATTGTGCTATCGTACAGTTACTCCCTGTGTGGCTGTCATTGTTTGTGATGTTGAGTTTGGATACTGGGTGTGTGGGGAGAGTTGGCCAGCCGTAAAAGACTCTTTAACCCACCGCCCCAGTTCTCAAGGCTGGGCACCCAGCGTCCTGCTCTCATGTCATGTCATGTGCATTTGTGTATGTGTTTTTTTATATGGATGTTTCGGGATTTGTGGATATATTGGTGGTGGTTTTATTTCTCTATCTATCTATCTATCTATATATACCTATGGCTGGTATTCTATGAACTATAATTTCGTGTATTAGACGCTATTAACGCAGTATGCTGGCTCACTTCGACCTGATCCGCTTGCTCTGTGTACCTTGGAGGCACAAGAAGCCACAGCGAAGGGTGCGTATCGACTCCCGCATGCTATCTACTACTG